AAATTTTGCTGGCTATAAGTTGCAAAACTTCTGAGCTGTTATAACTAAAAGTTTATCTATAAATTATGCACGGGAAAATCCCTTAAAAACATTAATTCACTAAGTATCACAATAGGATATAGCTAATTAAATGACATTCGGTAATTTTAGGAAAGGTTTAGTCTCGCCCTAACTTTCAAAAATTATATATATTTAAAGGTCTTATCTTCCTCTATTTGTTTTCTAAATTTTCATAATCAAATGGTTCCAAAGGTTAAGTTGTACAATAATGACAAGTAAGATTATTACTGAAAAAGTTTCTCAAGCCAAATTCACCCAAGAAGCTTCAACCATAACGGGTTATAAAGAAGGAGAAAGAGGCCTCACAGCATAGCTATGGGAGCTGTTCACCCTTTCGCTCTTCCAAAATTTGAAGATAAATACAAACAAAGAAAATGGATGATTGACCATATGTCTGGAGCCTTTCGTGTTTTCGCAAGAAAAGGATACACCGAAGGTACTGCTGGTCATATTTAGGTACGAGATCCTGTTAATCCGAAAACTTTCTGGATCAACCCTTTAGGAATACACTTCGATTTAATTAAGGCCTCAGACCTCGTTCATGGCTATTGCTCAGGCTATAGGAAATGGTAAAGGCGCAATTCTTACTAACCATGGGCTTCTCACTTTTGGATCAACTGTAGATCTGGCTGCTCATTTGTTTACCTTGATGGAAAATTGCTGTGAAGTACAGCTTTTGGCCGACTCTGGATCCACCTGTAAAGAGAAATCGCAAATACGGGATGAAGAAGCTGGATACACTGAATACATGATTGGTGATAATGAGACATTGTATACAGAGTTTCAACCAGACTACGAAATGGAAGTACATCTTTCTAAAGGAGACTTTCTTTGCAAAGATTAGTTCACCTTTTAGTTTATATCTTTTTACAAACGATTTAGATAATATGTTTTTGAAATTGACTTTGTAGGTCAAAGAAACCCAATAGGTGATTAGTAATTGATTCATTTTTTGAGACGTATATTCAACAAATGTATCAGAGTATTTAGTGTTGAATTTGGCATATATGTCAGCTTTTACAATTAATAATTGATTTACACTGAATATCAACGACTCAATTCTTAAACGTCAAAAAGTAGAAATTAATAAAATGCTATCAATTTTTGGTTCAAAGTCCTTTTTTTATGTAATAAAATATGAATCAATCTACATATTGAACACTTATAAAATCCATTCCGTCATACGATAAAACTGATATAAAGATTATCTCTTTTCTTATCTTGATCCGACTTCCTCAATTCTCAATGAGGATACCAGATTAGGTGAACGGCAAATAAATTTTATCTCTTCACTATATTTTATCAAATCAGATTAAGAAATAAAAAAGAAACGGACGAATTTTTTGTTTCGCGCCAGTATCGCTACTTTCCTATTCCAGTAGATCGCTAGATCTGTTGTAAAGGAGCTTATAAATAACCCGAAGTCATTACTTTATTTCTCTTCTTCAAATCAATTTTAACAAAAAATACAATTAACAATGACAGTTGAACCATATTCTTACTTATTTTCTGCTAAAGTTGCTTCTTTCCAACCTATGCTTGTTGGAGGTAAAGGTAACTACATTGCTGTTGAAGATCCACAAACTCATGAAAGACGCGACGTTTTTGATGCACTTGGTGGAGCCGCTATTTGTGCATTGGGTCACGGCGATCAAGACATAACTAGGAGAAATGGCCAAGGCTGCAAAGGAATGTACATACACTTTCCCAGCTTCCATTACTAACTATTATTTTGAAGAATTAGCAAAGTTTTATTTGATAATTCACCCAAAGGTGTTTTTGCAGCAGCTTCCTTTACAGGTTCTGGTTCAGAATCAAACGAAAATGCGATGAAGATTGTTAGACAATATTACAAAGAAAAGGGTGAAATGGATAGACTTATTTTCGTTAGTCGTGAACAATCATACCACGGTTATACGATTGGAGCTATGTCTCTTAGTGAGTCTTCCAGAAAGGCACCTTTTAGAGAAGTTACTTTGGCAGCTTGGCAAGCTCCAAAAGTTGCACCTTGTTATCCTTACCGCCATAAGAAAGACGGAGAATCACTTGAAAAATATAAAGATAGATTATTAAAGGAAGTTGAAGAGACTTTCTTATCTCTCGGCCCATATAAAATTGCGGCCTTTGTTTGTGAAACACTTCCGGATCGACTTTTGGAACTTCCCCTGCGGCCCCGGGTTATTTGAAGGGTCTTAGAGAATTGTGCGACAAATACGGAATTTGTTGTGGCTTGATGAAGTTATGTGTGGCACAGGAAGATCATGCTACAGGAGGATTGAATTGCTGGGAGTCGTATGTCTTAAGGGTCCAGATATTCAAACTATCGGTAAGACCTTAGGTTCCGGTTACGTTACTGTTGCTGGTATTCTCATTTCACCAAAGGTTAAGGAAGCATTTGTTGAAAGATCTGGTACCATTGCAGGTGCTCAAACATACCATCAGCACTCCTTTAAATGCTGTGTCGCATTAGCCGTTCAAAAAAAAAATCCAAAGGTTAGGTTTAAGACGTAACTCTTACGAGAAAGGACAATTAATTGGATCCATGCTTACAAAAAAAGGTTTGAACTCATCTAAACTCAAAATAATTGGAGATGTTAGAGGTTTAAGTGGATTCTGGTCTCTTGAAATTGTCAAGGACAAGGAAAATAAAGAGCCATTTCCAGCTTCTTTAAAAGTTGCATCTCAATTGCTGCTAAATGTTTAAAGAATGGTATGAGTGTAATGGGAATGGATGGTACTCGTGATGGTGTATCTGGTGATCATTTTTCTGTTGCTCCAACTTTCATCCTTTCTGAGGCAGACGTTGAGTTTATCGTTGATACTTTGTTAAAGAGTGTTACTGAGGTTGAAGAAGATTTAACTAAGAATGGTAACTTATAGGTTATAGTTCATAAATATTTTATTGGAAGGTTAAGTTATTTATGTATAAATAAAAAAAAAAGAATTTTAGTAAGAACGATATGAGTATTAAAAACCACGTTTAAGTTGTTTTTGACACTAAGAGGACTTGACAACTAAATTACTAAATCTACATATTGAAAAAAATACAACAATATTAAGATTGTTTATTTCCATTTAATTTTAACAACTTTTTTGTTCTAATTCTACTATATTGCTACTGATCTAAATTCTCTAACTCACCATTTGAATGACAGAAATATTTTAAATTGTCTTTATTAAATGAAAATACTTGTTTGTAAATACTGTTTTTAATCTAAGAAAAAAAAAAGACTCATTATACGTCCTAGTCACCTAGAGAACAACGTTTTTTTTGTTTTGGTTATCCAAATTTTTTTTGAGGTCGATATTCTTTGCTTCGCTATCTACCTAAAATGGAAAAGAGTTTTACGCTTTCAGTTAAACTTGTCTATAAAGGAATTTAGCGAAAAAAAAACCTTAACGATTCATCTAAAGTACCACTCGCAATAATAGTTACCTTTCTTGAAGTTTCGAAGGATTGAAATAATACTAAATAGTACTTTTGTGATAAGAAATTTAGATTTAAATTTAAGAGCTTGAGATGATTATTTGCTTTGAAATGCTTATATACTTATATATTTCTATGTTAAACCTAGAAAATAAAACAAGCTTCTCTAAATAATTCAACTAAGTTGTGGCGTATATATTAAATATTACAAAAGATAAAAATATGCCAACTACAAGTTCAGCTTTTGCTCCAGCTCCATCTTTAACTGTCGAGGATTTAAATTTACTGGATCTTGCTTCTAAGTATTCAGTTAGGGGAAAGATACCCATTATGATCCATTGCCCCCAGGAGATGGATGGATATCAAAGTGTAAAGTCTTCCATGCAGGCTTTATTAAGCAATTCAAAGCTTATTGATAATCGTAGGATAATTAAATAGACATTTATCTAAAAGCTATGAGCAGTTTTAAAAATATGGTATCCAAATTAAAGTAATAAATAATAATGGTAAGTTTGAACCAAGAGTAAACTAATGTAGTTCTCCCAATAATGTCCCAAAAATAATTGTAAAGTTTTAAAATTCCGAGCATTATTGAAAAACACCTATTACCAAGATGATCAAGTCTACTGAGTGGTAAATAAAAACAGGATATTTCATGAAGATGTGGATGGAGTGAAGATGAAAAATTGATGGTTGTACGGACTGACAAGGTGAACTCCTATACCCTATTGCATAACCCCACAGTGTAATCTATAAAAATACAGAATGAAAAAATTCTAAGATGCGTTTTTACTTTCAATGACAACTGAAAACACAAGTTACTGATTTTTTAGGTCAAATTTTACGACGTTGAATTCCATACATATGCAACGAAGGAAAGTCTCACCTCGAAGACATCCCGAAGATAGAGAGTTTTCTTGTTCGGACGAGTGCCGTTGTGGAATTTATTCTTATATTGTGGAGGGTGCAGGTCAACAGAAGTTTGATGTGCTTATATAATAATTAGTAACCATTTTTTCATAGGCAAATTTGAATATTTTTATTATAGCTTATAATATATTTATGTCACGCTTTTAAATTCCTTATATATAAAAATATAATATATTTTAATTTCTGAACTATGCGCATCAAGCTCCCCTAAATTCAAATGTGACAATTGAGATCCTTATCATTGCACTACCACCACTTTCTATTTTTTTGTGAGGCAAGTAAAAAACCACATGGATATCGTTTAACAAGGGATAGAAGTAATAAAACTGGCTGCCAGGGACACGGAGGAGCCAACTAACCGCAGTGTGCTGTTTATTTAAGAGGATAATGGATGCGTGGTTTAAATGAAAATGGATCGGATTATGATTTAACGGTTTTAAGCAAACCAACGAAAAGAGATCTTCTAACTACGTTTCTCGGATAGGTCAAATAACGAAATAGAATAATGACTTCAAATATCTTCACAGGATATTAATGAGTGCGTTAGCAAAAAAGAAAATGACAACAGCTATTTTTTCTATACTTTGATGAAATAAGATTAGTATAACTCGATTTAAAGACAAAAAAATGAAACACTACTTCGAAAATTAATATAGATCACGAAAAATATGAGTGACAAGCCGCCCATCGTACTATATGTTATGTGTTCCATTCTTTAAACCTCCATAGGACCAAAGAATTCTGTAGATATTTCCGATTCTTGTACACCCCTCTGTATCAACTCCCCTTTAACAAATTCCATGTAAGAGCTAGGGCCTAACAAATAATAATCGAAATTTGGGTCAACAAACTCAAAATCTTGAGCCTCTAACCTACGAGTTTCCAACTCATCGATAACTTCAAGATCCGATTCTGATTCATTAGAAATGAATTCAGTTAACTTGAATTGATCGTAATATTTTTCTTTTAAGTCTAGCAACCATGTAGTAAAAGGCCTAGTTTCTATACGTCTATTAGAATTGAACATGTAAACCTGACGACCACTTTCTAAAGCCTTTTCAGCTATTGAAACTAATGGAGTAATACCAATACCTCCTACGAACAAAACGACAGGTTTATCAACATCAGATTCAATGTAGAAGAATTGACCAGCTGGTGGACTGACACGAATAGTGGAATCAACTTGCAAGCCGTTGTGCACAAATGACGAAATTTGACCTCCTTCAACTAAACGAACTGAAATACGATATTCATCAGAATTTGGATATTGGGAAAGAGAATATTCCCTACTCTTCTCAGAAAAAGAGCCTGGCAACTTGAATCTAACACAAATATACTGTCCTCTCTTGGGAATGGCAATCTTTTTACCGTCAGCGGGTTTGAAATACACAGATTTAACGTCCACGGATTCACTCTCGATACGTGAAATTTTAAAATCACGGAAACCATCCCATTCCATATTTTT